TGGCTGCACATCTCAAGATATCTAGACTTCTGCTGGAGTGAGGATAAGGTAAAAATAAAGGACCCTCTTCCTTCCCAGAGGCCGAGGAACAAGGTCCGGAAAGGTTCCTTTCTCAGCCTGTGATTTACTAATGGTGGAGATTCAATTACTAAGAAGAGGAAAAAATGGAAATCATCTTCTTTTTTTTTTTGGTTTTTCGAGACAGGGTTTCTCTGTGTATGGAAATCATCTTCTAATGAAGCTGTCTGTACACCGCAGTCAATTTACATCCGTAACCGATGAGATCTAATCACTCAGGACAGGGAGGGCCTTGGTGTCTGAACGTGAGAAACACCTGGTCTTACATACAGTCTTGACTGTGTCCTCCTCAGATACAGACTTCCCTGTGCGGAGACAGTCAGCTTTCTCTGATGGCTAGCCCTCAAAATGACATGTCCCTGGCTCCCTTCCCCAACCTCTAGGCAGTTCAGTAGAGTTGCCACATCTCAGCAAATCTAGCTCTTACTGTCCTGTCTTAACATTCAGAGGAAGATAGATGTTCAGTCCTCTCATAAAATGAGATTTGGTTTCCAGAGAATAGTATTTTCTGAAATAATTGCTAACATTATTGAGGTAAAAGAACCACGGCTTCTAAGAAATTCTAAAGAATTTCTCTTTACGTTAAGCCTTTCCAGAAAGGCCCCTCCCCTCACACTGAGAATGGCTGATTCCCAGGTATGTGAAGCCTATGTTCTACTTGAGAATTCACTGAACAATGGTACAGTAGCCATCTTATATAAAAATAAAAGAGACCTGCTCCTATTCGAGTCTCCTCTAAAGTTCTGACCTCAGTTCAGAACTTGGAGCCAGATCATCCAGGAGTCTGCACGCATCATCTTAGGCATACTTGACAGGGATCTGTGTTTTCAAATCATTGCTAAGAGACCCTCTTCAAAATGGAGACCTCAAAGCCTTTCCAGAGCTTACTGAACTTACTCAGTTCCAGAGTTCCCAGAGATCTTTAGTGTTACTAACATCTGAATTTTACCACTAAGACTTAACTTTGGTTTTTGTTTCTACTTCTTCATCTTGCATTAAAGCTGAGCAACCAGATTCGCGCCATTTCCTTACAGGTCATCTCTGTGACTTGGTATGTGTGAGAGTGAGAGAATAGGCTTCTCAGGTTGCACTGTAACTATGCCCGCCATCTTGCTTCTTCCATCATCTCTGAGGCTTTCTGCCTGATTGCTGTCACCTAAGGGTGTTTGCCTAAACCATACGTCTGTCAGGGACAAATTATAAATAAAATCCATCTGATAATTCACTTATACTGGGAAGAGATGCTACCAGGAGAGTACACGTTTGTTTGTGTGGTTTGGCTTTCAGGCATTCCTTCACACACTCACCTTCTGCTTCACACCAAGACAAAGGCTGTTAATAGAAGAGTGAATTATCTTTGCAGTGATGTTCTCAGCCATCTTGATTCTAGTTTTAAGTCTGAGACGGGATTTCTTGGGGGCAGGTGTCTGTGTCCATTGAAAAATCCCACTCTTTGATGCTACTTTGTATTTGCTCTCTAAGACAGTGTTCTAGAATGAAAACCATAACACATACTAAGGCATTTCTTAGCAGAGAGATCAATGGTACCCTCTCCTGTAGAAGCCACATGGAAAATTTTTCCCCTGTGTTGGTCTCATTCAGTTTGGAAGGGATAAATGTGGATGACTTGGCTTTCTTTGGATGATTTAGTTTCTAGGCCTTGGTTTATTTCAACTCTATTACAAAACATTTGAGAAACAAACACATTCTGTAACTATTTTATTTAAAAAACAACAACAACAAAACCAAAACAAAAAAAACTAGGCTGATTTGAGTTCTGCTCACTCAGGGTCTCTCTGGAGTACTTCATGCTTGCCAAGTACCTTCCCTCGAGCTGGAGCAACAATGGCACAGAATAGACTCTGCCAGCTCAAAAGGGGGCATGCTCAATATGAGCAAAGGGGGCTTGCCATCTTGTGTGCCAACTACTGTGTTAGAGCCATGCACAGCACATTGGGTCAGTGTTGAAAACAGAAAGGAGTCCTTCCAGAAGTGAGGTCAGCCAGGGCAGACTGTTGGTAGAGGTATCAGGAGAGCTTGGTCCTGAGAGACAGGTGAAGAACGACAAACCCACAAGAGGAGTTGATGCTACTACACATGTGGGACTCATGCAAGGTTTCTGATAAGCCAGTGTGCGCTGAATACATTGGATGTATCTCAGTGTCTTCTGCACCTACCACCCTCCTACCTCAAAGCCTTTGCTCATCTGCCAAAGTGCTCATCTGCTTTCTGTCTTCTCAATATGTTTCAGACAGCATCTCTTAGGAAAGATTTTCCCTCACTTTCCTTCCTAATGCTCTTGCTGTGAGTTCTCTTCCTGTCACTTAGACTGTTTATACTTTTTTCTACTAATTTGTGTTAAACAGTTTTAGCTGTCTCTATGGCTAAACTGCAGATTCTCTGATCTTAGGGATCACAGATCTACCACAGTACCTGGCACATGTTAGCTACTTAGTAAATAAGTCTTAAGAGAATGAATGGTCAGATCTACCTCCCATTGAGAGTGTTCTTGCTTCAAATTAGAGGATGGATTCTTGAGGATACCAAAATGAATAAATGGATAGTAGACAAGAAATGGTTTGGAGACTCCCCATCATGGTGGTGAGAACTGGGGGTAACCTCACCATGATCACAGGAACATGGAATCATGCATAGTGGAACAATGTAGACTGGGAGCTGAGTCAGTGTGGACAAATGGGATTAGGTCATTGTATAAAACTAGAGTAAGCATGCCACCAAAACACAGGACAATGAATACTTTGGACGTATTGGATCTAAGGCTACCTAAGAGATATCTGGATAGATTGTCCAGTAGATGCTTAATTTAAACATTTGAAGCCCAGGAGGGACCTTAGCAGAAGGAAGTGATTTGAGCATTCTTGGTTGAAAGGTTCACTTATCTGTTTATTCACATACATTCACTACCTACTTTGAGGTGTAGAAATCCCAATGGTGAATCTAGTTTCCACAAATTTGTTCACTCAGAAAGTGACAACAAAGGTCGCTCTCCCCCAAACTAGTCATCAAGATAGACTCACTTTGGATTGGCAGAATTAAGGTCTATGTTTATATCTACTCTGTTCATAAATTATTGTTAGTCTTTCCTTAAAATATGGGCTTTCAGGGTTTGACATTAGAGCGAGTCTCAGCCCGTAACTTGTGGAACAAAGAGAGATGCTCAAACCTGCACTTCCCATTTCACTGCAGTTTTCTGGTTGTTGTGTGCACTGAGCCCACACTCGTGTGCACTGAGGCCGGATTTCCTTTGTTATGGTCTGTGGGATAAATGCGATCTTAATGGAGCCCAGTAAAATAGAAGTGTTATGATCTGTTTTGACAAGACCTCTTTAAGGGAATTTTTTTATTTATTTGCTATAAGTTTCTTCTTCTCAGTTCTCTTAATCCAAGGGACAGTACCTCCGGCACTTACCAAACAAAAGCCCTTAGGTACGTACCCAACTGTGGGTTGCTTTGGTAAGTAAAAGTTCTTAAGAACTTTTAAGGTGAACCTTTGCTGATTCATTTTAAACAGCAGGTTATGGTTGCTATATATCCTAATACTTAGAACTACTTTTAGTACCATAGATATTGTATGTTATAGCAGAGTTAGCTGAAAAACTTAAAACTCAGGAAAAAAAAAACCTTCTTTATTTAAAACTGTTTTGCAATCAAAAGAAGAACTCATAGACTGCTAATGTCCATCTAAAACATAGCTTCTGTACATTTCCGTACATGGCATCTAATGAGCTTTCTGGTGTGTGTGTTCTAATGCTTATTAGTCTCCTGCCCCTCAACAATGAATGAAATATAGAGTCTATGAAGCATGTGCATTACTTATAGGGTGCTGTGCATTCAGATTTACCTTTTCTTGTGCTGAATTTCTTAAGATATGTGTCTTATTGCAAAAAAAAGGTTGTTTGTTTGTTTGTTTGTTTGTTTAATTCTCTGCAGCTAACACTTGCTCCTGTGCATTACACTTTAGACTGGCTTCCCAGGCTAATCTCTCCAGTAGAATATGCCTTGTAAGATACACAGAATCAAAGCTGTAGAAGCAAGAATGGAAAGCACCTTAAACTGTGCATCCCTTGCCATTTGTAAGCTGGTTTCTAAGCACATCATGAAGTTGTACTATGTTTCTGCATAGATACAAAATCGGATATTTTAGAGAAAAGTCACTATATTCAGCTAGAATGAAGCAAACATAAAATCAAAGATGAAACAACTTTGAACTATTTATATATTTCAAAAAATGGCCCAACACAAAGACTACTTTTCTCTAAACAAATACAATTTTGTGTTTGTATACAAAATAATTTGTTTCCATATTTCAAAAACTGAATTTGCATTTCCTGTTTAGCTTTTCCAAAGTTTCCTCTATAGGATCTCTAGAAAAGCATGGAGTATCTTCAAACCTCATGAGATTTAAATGAACAAGCAAATAAACCTGACCAGACATTTTCTGTGGTGAATGTTTCAAAGCATTTTGGAGCTTGGCTATCCTGGTTGATTCCTAGGGATTCTGGACCCATACCTTCTTCTCCTCTCCTCTCCTCTCCTCTCTTCTTTCCGTTTCTTCCTTCCTTCCTTCCTTTCTTCCTTCCTTCCTTTCTTTCTTTCTTTCTTTTTCTTTCTTTCTTTCTTTTCTTTTGTTTCAGACTTCCTGTTGAATTTTTTAAGTATGTCAAAAAATCAAATCACCCAGTTGTTACATTAAAGCTTCTCCACAGCCTCCAGACCCAACCTAAAAGCTATGTCTATTACTAAATGACTGTACCATACCCGCCCCCAACAGAAGCACAGAGGGACCCGGGTGTGTGCTTACACCTCATATGCTTGTTCATAGCTCGATGAGTACTTTTACTTGTGTTGTTTCACGTTTTCTCTTTATGACAGTTGGCTTTCTTCTGTTTTTGTTTCCGCAGGACATTTGGGCTTCCAGGACAGCTTTGTCACATCAGGTGTTTTCAGTGTGACTGAGCTAGTAAGAGTGTCACAAAGTAAGTATAGTTTTGCTCTGATTTGGTCCAAATTTGCCTTCAGTCAGTGTTTGTTCTCATAGGGCTTTACCACTTTCACAGCACGCTTTCTGTTCTTAGACGAACTGTACCAACTAGTTTGTTTGAAAAAGTCAGTATTTCTAGGCCAAGAATAATTGAGAACTTTAATGTGAGGCATTATGGTAAGGACCAATGTCAAATGTCAGGCATAGTCCTGGGTCCATCATGTGAACTTGGCTTTAGAAGACCTTGAGTCTTCCCTCTGGTTCCTGAGGAATTCTACATTTAAGAGACTTTGTTTCTGACCTTTAAGCAATGCTAATGCTCTTAGTATGAGTGGCACATTACAGCATGGTCATTACCAGCTTGTCGATAACAACTACAGCAGTGATGGAAGAGTTCGTGCTACCGCCCAGTCCTTTTGATCAAAGGCCCATTGATTGTATGTTTGTTATGGCGTAACCCAAACAGTGCACAAAGCATGGGAGTCCGGCTGTCTGTGTCTCTCTGTCTCCTCTCCCGACAGTCACCACACCTCATGCACACGGTCGCCCTCCTTCCAGAACATCTCTGTTTTAAAAGCATTCCTACAAGGACCACTTGCTCTTAGTCTCAGTTTAAACGTGAAATTAAACATCAAATATTAAAATTTTACTCTTTTATCTGCCTAAAGGTAGGTAAATGTATACTGTTAAACATGATGTTCAAGCAGCGTCAAGTTCTTTAGAGAATGAAATGGAGTTTGTAGCCCCTATTGTATGTGGTACAGGCTTGCAAGGATGCCCAAGTAAACCAATGGGCCGTGAGATGCCACAAAAGTCAAGCCAGCCTGATCTTCCGAGTCTGGATTCTTTCAGCTCTTGTTTCAGCCATCACAGGCTGGAAGAATCTTTAGTGTCCAAAAAAATAGGATACGATATGGGACTAGAGGAAAATCCAGGTGTTCTTGAACATTTGCTATTGGCTAAGCACTGTGCTAGGCCTTTGAGGGAGGAGCATCATTTGCTAATCCTTACAACAAACTCTAAGGTTCCAGGTGAGCTAACCTTAGGATCATTTATCCTTAAAGTCATTTATTCGAGTCAAGCAGTAAGTGGTTCAGCTGAGCCTCAGTGTGTCTTGCTTGTACTCTAAGCTGCACAATCTATACTCTGAGACTAACTCAGAGGAGTTTGAGAAAATCTTCTGCTTAAGACCAGGCAGGTAAGTGGTGGGAAGGCAACTGTGTATGCTAGAATTCTGACTGTCAGGGAGTCTGCCATTGATGGTGAGGTACTAATGGGTAGTAGTGGCAGAATCCTCACGGGGAAGCAATAGCAGTAGCAAGTGATGGCCTGCAGTGGGGATAATTTGGCGGTATTATGAAGGGTGTCCCAAAGTACTAGCTGAGGGGGAACTTAATGACTTTATTGAACAGGAAGACATGTGCTTCCCTGGTTAGTGTATGGTGGATTAGCCAGTTACTGGCCATAGACAAATAACAATGCATATGTATTGAAGGTGGTCAATATTCTATGTTTTTCTTATTAGCTTACTAATAATAGCACATAAAGAGTATGTCTTATCAAAGCGTATCAGTCATTGAGACATTAGAAGGAAGTATATTTATTGAGATCCAAGCATAGCCTTGATTTAAAAAGAAATCCTTTTTACTCTAAGATTAGAAGCTCTAGTCCATTTTGTTCTGCCTTGGCCACTCAAATGCTTGCATTAGTCTTCATTACCAGCAGAGCTCCACGGTCTGGGGGTTGTAAGAGGCCAGACAGCTCAGAACCATCCCTGGCCTCTTGCCCTTCCTCCCTCCCCTCATTTTCCTTTCAGGTCTTATATCCAAGATTGATTAGACCTCTACTCAGTCTAAGGCAGCATGATTGCCAAGTGAATTCTACATGTTCCTTCAAGACTGCCAGAAGGGATGCTTGCCCTTGGGGCTAAGATTGCAGAGTGTCTTGGATTCTTTCCTGTGCCTGTATAGGGGGCTGGTTAGCAAAGGCTTGGCACTGTGAGCATCCTTCAGCTTCTCAATGCTTTCCGATTCTGCACACTGCTGTGCTATCACTCCAGGACTCACTCACACATGGCCTTGTGCTGACTGCAACTGCTTGGTAAGAGCAGACCGGGCTGCATCAGCTAAACCATGGCTTCAGGCCAAACCGGTCAACTACATGCCAGAGACCCTCTCTTCCTTGTAGATCTTTAATCTAAGTTTGTCAAGGTTTATTTTATAGATTGCCTTGGCTACTGCAATAGGGATTCCCAAGCTCTGTCCCTCCACCTGAAAGCCTTTCTCAAAGGCATATGCCCTAGTTAGGTTTCTCTTCCTGTTATGAAAAAACGACCAAAAACAACTTAGGAGAGGAAAGGGTTTATTAGCTTGCAGGTCACACTCTGTCTTCAAAGAAAGACAAAGCAAGAACTGAAGCAGAGACCACAGAGGAGTGCTGCTTACTGACTTGCTCAGCCTGCTTTCTTAGACAATCCAGGAATACTTACCCAGTCGTGATTGATACCTCTCATGGTGGACATGGCCAACTCACATCTATCATTAATCAATAAAATGCCCTACAGACATGCCCACAGGTCAATCTGATGGAAACAATTCTTCAGCTTCATAGCTTCCAGCTACATAGTTTGTGTTAGGTTGACAAAAAAAATACTCAGCAGAGCATATCATCCAAACTACATAAATAAGTTGAGTCTATGTCCATTCCTCACAGAACTATGTCGCTCCTTCTCTTCCTGTGAGAGCTAAGCCTCTGTTTTAGGACTGTATGGGACTTTATTGCAGATAAATAAGGATGAGGAACATTCTGCATCCTTGAATTAGAAATAAGCTAAGTGGTGATGTATTGCTAAGGTCCTGTGTGTTCAATTTGAATATTACAAATTATGTGAGTGAGAATTTACCAAGTGTACATCTTGTACTTCATGCTAGACATGTAGGCACTGCTTCACTTGGTGCTCCTGTGGCTGGGCCTGTGTCTCTTTTCAGAGATGAACAGTGCGGTGGTACTCAAAGACACTGAGCATCGTGTTCCCACAGGCCTTCGTTGTGATTGCTTCTATAACTCAATCATAGAGTAAAATAGACCAGTGGGTTCTGGGCTTTGATTGGTTAATCATTTCTTGTTGGGGGTGATGTATCTTTACTTTATAATACATTTTTTGGAAGGATTGTTAAAATGCAAAATGGAACAAGTAAAATTCTCCTAGATTCATTTTCAGTATGATTTTGTTTTCAATTAGTAGGCTTGGTATTTTTAATTCTGCAGGTGCTGTATATCAAACCCAGTTCTCAACATGCTAGACAAATTCCATACCCATTAGCTACATCACCAGTCCTGGAAAAAAAAAGTCATATATTAGAGCAGTCCTTTAGGTTAATAGTTTTCAGATAGCAAAACACAGAGTCTCTTATGTCCTGTCTCTAACCATTTCCCAGTTATTAACAACTGTGGGTAGCATGCTACATTTCTCACTGTTGGTGAGCCAGTATTGATACACAATTATTAGATAAACTCCATAATTTTCATTAGGGTTTACTCTTGTGCTTTTGTTGTTGTTACTTATTCTAAGTGTCTCCACAAATATGTAAGAGCACACGTCCACTACTATATATCAAGCAGGGTCATGTCATCTGACAGCCATGAAAGCACTGTGCTATGCCTATTTAAACTACACACACACACAAACACACACACACACCTTCCTGGATCTCTCTTTTGTTTTGCCTCTCATGTGGGTATTTTACTGGCCTTAATATACCGGTATTGTATACCAGTATTACTGTAATATACCTAATATCAGACTTCCTTAATCCCTCTGAATTTTGTTCCTTGGTGCCCCAGCCTGACCTGTTCTTCAACCTCATCACAATCATAGCTAGTTGTGACCTCGTACAGTGTGGAGACTTCATATTACTCAGAAACAATCCCCTTGTTTTAAACTCTTTCTCTTTCCAGATACATAATGTCAGCCTTCTACATGTGATAGTAAAAATATTTACTTCCCCCAGGATTCCAGTGAGGTTCTGTGATAGAGTCAGGAGTGCTATTTCAGTATTTGCAAATGAAGAATCACTGAAATAACTTTGCTGATGTTGTTTGTCTGGGATAGTGCCACCTCTAAGGTGGCAATGACAGAGAAACTCAGCCTCACAAATTCCTAGGTGAGAGTTAGACTAGACAGCCAAGCTATTTGACAATAAATGTCTGGATCCGATGCAAGGACCTTCTGGACTCAGGACTCGGACTGGCCCATGAGGGCTGCAGGAAGCTATGAATCCCCTCACCCTTGCCTCCCTCCAGCACCCTTTAACTTTTGTCTTTATCATTTAATGTTTGTGAACTGTGGCAACGGAAACGCTGTAGCTGAGAGTATGGATTTGTTCTGTGGCCCGTCTCCACACGTGGCAGGACCATCTGAAAGCACTTCTAGTTATTTATTACCTTGTTCCACAAGAGGGAGAAAACACAGACCACTGCACGCTGGGCCAGAGAAAAAGAAGAATTCAGTATAGGGGAGAGGCTCCCAGGAGCGACTGTGGTTCCGAATCGCTGAGGTTGTTTTAGCATAATCCCATGAAGGAGGAGACAGGAGCCATCTGTTGAGATGGTGCTTTATTACACAAAGCCCTCTACAGGCATTTCCAGATCGGCCCCTCCCATGAGCTGCCAAGGAGAGCCCATTCTGCTGGCTGCTGAATGTCGCTGCTACTTCAAGGGCTCTCTGTCAAACCCACTCTTGTTTATTTTGTGCCAACGTTTCCTCAAAGTATGTGCTCCGAGGCTGCCAAATGTCCCTCCTGGTGTGAACTCAAAAAGTTCTGCCCCAAACTCCACTCCTGCTCATTTCCTTCTAAAGTGCTGACTGTTTTCCTTGAAGTTGCTGGAGAGATTCTGAAACCTTAAAGGCCTCAGTGGGAAAGAGTAAAAACCACAGATACACACACAGGCCATTGTGCCTCTGCTCTGGCTGTTCTGATTGCCAGCATGGTTTGT